AACAAACAAGATAGTAGTTTTTTTTCAATAAGAGGTGTTTGGACCTTAACAGTCATATTTTCACCTCTGGCATATTTTTTGAAAGATTTTGTGGCCTTTTTCTTGATACTTTACAAAAAAGGATAGTCTAGAGCCAAGTCTATGACGTACCGATATTGGGTAATGAACGTCTTTACCAATTTTTTTCATGAAGTAATGCAAGTTTATCCAATTGGATGTGCCATCTAATAGCAAAACTAGTAAGGTTATCTTAGAATATGTACATAAAAAATTTATCATCACTTGTATAAACGACCATTTTTTTACAATACATAGTGACATGAGTCACTGAACACTTAGTACCATCATATTTCTCAAACTTTGAGACTTTGAACTTTAGTGACATAACTATATCAAGAACTAAACAAAGTCTACCCGCATCTATGAAGTCATAAAAGTGAATTCCCTTTATGGCTCGTAACCTCTCTTCAAGTAAATTTATCTTTTGTTCAGACTTTAAGCCTTCTAGAGACTTAACTATCTTTAGTTACAATTTTTTTCTCCTTCGAATCATCTAAGTTGGGGACTTCAACTGACTTCACTGTCTTTTTCGTAAAAACAATTTTACCATAACTTTAAAATGCCCTTGAGTTGACACGAAAAGCATTCCAAGTAAGTATATCCCACCAGTAATGAGAATTGTTATGAAGGAATGCCTTGAATAGACTAGGCCTGATTTGGGCCATAATTAAGAGGATAAAGAAAATCAACAACATCCTATAATAGATGTTCTTGTAGGTTAGTATCTTCTTTTACGACATTCTTTTTGTTCTTCTTATTTAGGGCTTCTAAAATTTTACTCAATTCTCTCTTAAATTTTTCTTGGGCCTTTTTTTTTTCAAATGATTTGTTTTTTTTTTTCATTTATTTGGCTTAGACTCTAATGTTGTATGGATGGTGGGTCCTTTGAGCAGGGTTCTTGGATAGTCGAGCTATCTTTGAACCTTATGTACCATAATTTCATATTAGAATGATGTCTAGCTATAAATTTATGCAAAGAGAAATTATGAATGAATGAATGGATTCATGCTCATATAATAAGAAAGAGAAAAAAATCCTTAATTAAAAATAAAAAATTATTCTGACAAGAATATTAAAAACATTCTTAAAGAAAGTTTTAAAATCTATTACTTGAACATGTACTTGAACTTTAAGATCTCGGTGTTACATTATAATTGGGCAATGAACTCTCAACAATCTCGAGCTTTTCATCTTTCTAAAAACTCAACAAGCCAATTTTGATCAAACATTCCACTTTATGTTTAAAGGCAAGGTAATTTTCTATTAGATGGCCTATATTCCCAAAGAGAAAATCACACCAAGCCTTAGTATCATATCACTTAGAATAAGGAGGCTTTAGTGGCTCCAAAGAAACTAATGCGATCAAATACTTTTGGAGAAGTAATGGGAAAGCTCATTGTAAGTTACAGGGATTGAATCAATGATGGCTCTCTCTTTTTTCTTACTTAACAATTTTTTTGGCCGCACTATGGGTGGATTTATAGGTGCAGGTTTTGAAATAAAAATTGCTGGATAGGCTAATAAGCATTATTCATAACAGGGCTATAATATGGGTTTAGGCCAATCTGTGGGGGTTGAATGGGTGCAGGTCTTGTTTGAGGTGTCAAAAAGAGTTCCTGAGGTTGGGGATAAGGATTTAGGTATAAGCCAATCTGTAAAGTAGGCGCGAAGTTAGAAGGCCCTATTTTTTTTCTGACTTGATCTTTTCTTGGGCCATCGAATGCGTTGGTATGACTTGGACCAATATCAGTATTGTGATAGGTTTTTTTATCCTAGTAAATTGGTTACTTAATGTACATATAAATTGGTAAAGACTATTAGGAATGAGCTACTTCAAGATTTTTAACCCTTTCCACTAGCTTGGCAAGTTGTATTTTGACTTCTCATAAGTCATGCCCTAATTCTTTTTGGATGAGCTCCAAGACCTGGATCCAGGCTTCTAATTGATCACCCATTTCTTCTTTCTTGCTGCCCTAAATAAAACAAATGATTTCTATATTATGCAATATTATGATAGATGTATTACATGAATGAAGATGCTTTATGAATGAATGAGATGCTTGAAATGAATGAAAATAGATGATAATTACAAACCTAAATATGACTCTTGCAAATAGGAAGTAACAAACAAGACTTGAGTAAGTATCCAATATGAAAAAAAAAAAAGACAAAACAAGTTAGTGTATAACTCATGTATAACAAAAGGTATATAACTTAATTTTAAATCATTTCTATAAAAAGAAAGGACATGGCTTTACCTATGGGTTATGTCCATTATAGCTCACTATATGTGGTTTAAGATTGACTCTACAGGTTTCCAAATTATTCATTACATCATTGTCCATCATAAACTAATAAGGTACCCCAATCATCGCCCATCATAGGCTACAAATGAAAATGTTCAATTTGGGTGAGAATGTTTCACTAACCCAAGCTAAAACATGAAATCTCATAAGAGCATAGGCACTTTACTCTCTCCTAAGGGATAGAGTTCGAGTATAGAACTCATGCTATGCATATGTACATGAATGGTAAAATATTAAAAACTTGAAAAATAAACCAAAAAGAAAGCAAAAAAAAAAAGTTCTTTTTAAGGAAAACCATTAAGCTTGGATAACACAAATTTATTTACTAGCCTGACTCTCGGTATCCCCAATGGAGTAACCAAACTGTCATAACCTATAGATCCTTAGACCTATCGCTAGACATGACTTAAAGAGTCATCATCAATTTTTTTTTAGGTGCAATTGATCACCTAACTGAATCTATCCCATTTTAAAAAGAAATCTTAAATTTGACTCAAGTATCTTTAAAAGGTATATACATGTCTACGAACAAAACTAGGTGCGATAGTACAAATACATGTGGGAAAGGTTATAGAACCCCTACAACACCCATCCAAATGATGGTACAGTTTGATTTCTTGTTATTCAAACGCCTTAAAAATCTTACCAAATAATTTAATGTTGGAAGCTATCCTTAAATTATTTCAATATGTTGATAATAATTTAAGAGCATTACCTCACCTCATGAGTATTCAAAGAGACTATTTGTCATGCTTTGAAAAGACTTTATCATTGGATTCATTAATATTTAAAAAAAAAAACTTTAGTTTGTGATAATAAAATGAGATTCAGAACCCTGGTATCGAAAACTTTTATCTAAATTTTTCAATATATGGTAAAATTTAAAAGGGATTTTTTACTTAAAAATTTACATAGCAATTGCTATTTGCAACGCTCTTAATAATTCCAACATCAGATATTTAAATTTTAATTTTATAAAAACACTTTATTTCCATAAATATCTTTCAATATATTGGTAAGATATTTTGCTAGAAATTATCCTCCAATATGTTTGTAGAATTTTATAGGAAACTATTTTTTTTAAATTATATTTTTATTTAAAAATCATATATTCTCCAATATATTGATAAAATCTTATTTTAAAAATAAAGTTGCCTTTTAATATAGTGGTAAGGCTTTATTAAAAACTTTTTTTTATTTTTTTTCAAATTTATTTTTTATGAAAAATTCTTAAGGTTCTCTAATATGTTAGTAAAACCTTATTTTGAAAATAAAATTATCTTCTAATATGTTGGTAAGGCTTTATTGAAAATTATTTTTTTGAACCTTCTAATATGTTGGTAAGGTTCATTTTTATTCAAAAATTCAATTTTAGAAATTTGAACCCTCTAATACACTGGTAAGGTTCATTTTTATTTGAAATTTTTAATTTTTTTTTACTTTTTATAAATATTTACAAATAAATAAATATATAAATAATCAAATTGAGAAAATAAAATAAAATAACTAAGGAAAAACAAACAAATAAGTCAACAAACAAATAAATAAATAGATTAATAAAATAAAAAATACAAATAAATGAAAAATAAATTATAATAATGATTAAAAAATGAAAATGGAAATATACTAAAAATATTGGCTCAGTTTGGTGGCTTAGGAAGGCGGCTACAAGCACAGAGTACGACTCGAGACAAGGCAACTTAGAACTTAGCTTGGAGGCTTACTAGGCTTAAGAGGATCGTAGGTCATCAGGTCTTGCAGTGCAATTTGGGTTGGGCCACTACAAAACACATGGATTTTAAGAATTAGAACATACGAAATGGCATCGTTTAGCTTTTATATAAAAACTAAAAAATCTCTATTTTTCTTCAGACTTCCTTTATTCTCTACCTACTTCTTGAGCTTCTCTCTATATAAGCAAAGTAAGTAGTCAGATTTTGCAACTTTTCGTTGAAAAATTCTACCATCACTAGAAATTGATCAGACTTTGGGTTCCTTACAAAAGTCTTCACCACAATCTAGATATGGTGTTGGATTTTAGATTGGTAGCCAGAATCCTCATCAAAAACTACAATTATTGCCCAAAAATTCATCAAAAAATTCAAAGTTTGGCCGAAAAAATTCAAAATTTCTCAAAAATTTCCAAAAAAATGCAAGAAACATTGATTTGAAATTCTTGAGCTTACTGAATCCTTTAACAACCCTAATTCTTCACAAATCACAAATTCCAAAGAATGAATTCTTCTCAAATCTCTTTGTCAGAAAAATATTTTGTCTGATTGCCTCTATGATTATTGTATATTTTAGTGCTATTTTTCTTAATTGTTCACTATGTTATCTATCTCTGATTGCAGTGTTATTTATAAAAAAAATCAAAGGCAATTTCAGATTAACTCAAACCTAACTTGAAACTGAGGATTATCATTTTTTATTTTCTTAGTTTATCAACAAGCTAACTTCTAATTTATCATTCATTATTTTGAAATAATCTGTAAACTACAAGGATAATTGAAATTAAAATTAAAGATAAGATAATAAAATAAAAAAAAAGAACAGATAAAGGAAAATAAATGTAAAAATAAATATAAATAGATAAATAACAATAATAATATAATAAACTAATAAACAAGATAAATAAAATATATATACACATATACAAATAAAAGAAAATTCATGAAATAATAAAATAAACCAACTATCAAGCTTGAAACAAGTTTGACACCTATCGATTTGAGCCTTTGGACCTAAAATCAAATCACACCCATGTGACTTATATCCCAGACTAAATGGAGTGTCCACATAGCTCACCAAGTTTTGGTTGGGCGAAAACAGTTGGACTTGGACTGCTTGCTCAACAAGGTGAGCCTTGTGCTAGTTGGGCTCACCATGATTGTCCAAACTATCAATGCTAAAGATCTGGGCTAGGGTGGGGTTGATGACATGTACTGCTGGCAGAGACTGGGACTATTCCCCAGTCTATTCACTGGTCTTTGCTTATCACCTTGGACCATATCTACTTCAAATTCCACCTTCTAAGTCAATTGTAAGGATAATAGATGGCATTGGCAAGTCGTAACTTAAATCTTTTTCCATGTACCCGATTCCTGTGAGTGGAGAACTTGACTTGCAAGCAATAAATGACTGTTATTAACTTTGGCTTTTTCATGAGAGGCCTGCCAAAGATCACATTATAGGTAGAGGATTGATCAACGATAATGCAATCCTTGAGTACAATTAACATGAGTACAATTATGGGTTAGTTGACGAAACCGAAAATAGGCTTTGATGGTCATAAGTCGCTATCATCTAACTTCATCTGTTTAAAGTCTTTATACTGAATGAGATTCACTATACTGCCACTGTCTACCAAAATCTTTTTCACTTGAAAGTTACCAATAGTGGTAGAGACTACAATAGGGTCTTTACCGTTATTAACTAGGACATCTGTATCATCTTCCTAAAACATGACTCGCCAATCACCTGTTCTTGGCTTTTTTGGAGCTACATCAATTGCCATTACACTATGCATGTGAGCCTTGTGTTAGACTTGCTACTTGCCCAATCCTTTGTTGCCCCGACAGTTACATTAATGATGCATTGGATTATATGTTTTCTTACTGCTTTGCCTTCATCGGTTTGCCCCAGAAAAACTTTCTTCTTATTAGGTGGATGCCTCTCTTGGTTGGCGAATGGGTGCACTGTCGCGTCACTTAGCTTGGCAAGCGGGCTGACTTTTAATCAAACCTTCCACTCTTTCAATCTACTTTTAAAGAGCAATGCGGTTGTTAGTGGAGTGCCCATCTGTAGAATGGTACTTGTCGTGACGCTTGAAAGGTGGACGGTCATCTTGTCTTACTGGTTGGGGTTGGTGGATGTGTTTGGTTTGGTCTTTTGGATACGTTAAAGCCAGAATCCAGAAATGCGAACTTAACTGCATGTAAATCCTAAATCCCAACAGCCATGTTGAAGCCCGTTGTCAGCACAGCCCTGACAAGTATGTTCCATGTAATGACAGTTGGAAGAATTCCACGCTCTAAAGCATCATCCAAGAAGCCAATTGCATCTGATATCTTACCGCAAGAACAAAGCCCCTTGAGAGTAATGTTATAAGAAATAATGTCTGGCTGTAGTCCATCAGTTGAAATTCGGGCCCAGATCTCTGATGCCTTCTTGTATTCTCCGGCTTTGTAAAGCCCTTCCATGATAGTATTATAGGTTACGAGATTTGGAGCACAGTTTACTTGCCTCATCTTTGAGTAGAGCTGTAAAGCATCCTCAACTTTGCCAACAGAGCAAAGGCCATGAATGATAATATTGTGCATGGTTACATCAGGCTTGAAGGCCTTGTCAAGCACATGGTGCCATAAGCTGAGTGCCATGTCAACATTCTTTCCTTGGAAAAGGCCTTTAATCAACAAGCTGTAGGTGATAATGTCGGGTTTCCACCCTTTCTCTAGCATGTCCTTCAAAAAATAGTATGCCTCCCCGAATCTTTCTGCTTTACACAAACCAGAAATGAGAATGTTATATGAGACAACAGTAGGAGAGTAACCCAATAAGTTCATTCCCCTGAAAAATTGAACGGCATCGTCAAGTCTGGATGCTTGGATAAAACCATGAATCAAGGGATTGCAAACATAAGGAGTCAGTTTACGACCACACTTAACCATCTGACTGATTAAACCAGCTACTTCGTCTAGTCTCCCTTGTTTGCCTAACCCATCAATCATTGAGGAATATCCAAAGCTATCCACTTTACCTCCCCTAAGTTCAGCCTCTTTCAATATGTCTAAAGCTTTTTTTAAGTAGCCATTCTTACACAATCCATGAATCAAAACTCCATATGTTGAAGCGTCAGCACTGCAACCTCTCTCAGGCAAGATCGCCCATAGAGAAATCGCATCATCTACCTTTCCATTCTCTAACAACCCTCTAATCAATATATTAAAACTAACAACATTTATACAACCATCATTTTCCATCAGTTTCCACAACTCAAAACACTCTTTAATTTTCCCAGCTTTACAGTACCCATTAAGCATTGCATTATAAGTAACCACATCAACCATTACCCCACTTTCAACAATCTCTTTATAAACTCTCTCAGCACCATCAATATTCCCTGCCTTGCACAGTCCATGTATCATACTACTATAAGTAAATAAATCCTTCTCTCTTTCATTCTTCTTCATCCTCTCCCATATACTCAAACACTCATCAAAATTGCCACATTTACACAAACCATTAATCATAACATTATAGGTAACTGAATTTGGATAAGCTGATGAATCCTTCAACAACCTCTCCCAAACCTCATTTGCCTTCACAAAATCCCTATTTCTGAAAAACCCATCAATTAGTATATTATAACACATAACATCAGGGTTCACTTTTCTCTTAAACATTTCGTCGAACAATTCCAAAGCAACGACCAAGTTCCCGCCTTTGACAAGACCATTCATCAAAGTCCCATAGCTTTGTACATTTGGATGAAGACCCATTTTCCAAATCCAATCCAATAACCGCTTCGCGTGCTCAAAATGCTTCCTTTTACAAGCAACCTTAATCAAAATATTATAAGTTTGCAAATTTGGCTTTATCCCCACTGTTTCAAAGTACTTAAAAAACGACTCAGCTTGCTCCCAACGATTCGACTCGGCAAAAGCGTTCAGTAGAGTGTTGTAAGATCGAATCCCAGGTTCACAACCAAAAATTTGCTTCATTCGTTGGAAGGAATCTAATGCTTTATCAGGCATTGAGTTTTTGGCATAAGCTTTTATTACCGTTAAAGCAACGTCTTCTGGGCAGTTACATTTCTGAGTTTCAATGAGTTGGACGATCCTAGTCACGTGGGAAACGAATCGGGAGTCGACTAGTCGACGAAGGATGTGGTGGAAAACGTCGGATGAGTGAGTGTAACCCGGATGGCGAGTTGCTGAGTCGAAGAGAGCCAGTGCAGAGTGGGAGTTTTTCTCTGATTTGAGGAGCTTGAGAACTCGCTTCGATAAGAGGTTTTTGGGGAACTCGGTCATGGAAAAGATGGTAGTTTCTGGGATTTCTTAGTCGCATTGTTGAACCATTAGCTGCTGAGCCTTCGCTGATGAGAAATGATTTTGGGCGACCAGAAATTGGGAGAATCTGAAATTTGGTAGGGCCTAAGTCTATGTGGGAACATCTATGGGCTAGCCACCGTCAAATATGGTCAAGTTTGGGCACAATTTGGACAGATTGGACCTAAAGTGGGCTCAATATGGGCTAGCAACCACCAAATATGGGCATTTTTGGGCCGGAGACTGAAGCTTTGCATCTCTTTCAGATACACGATACTTTATAAAATTATATCCCTTCGTCCCTGGTAAAAAAACAAATGGCACCAAATGAAGAACCATATAAACAGGGAATATTGTTCTATAAAGAAGGCCACAATCAATCTTGGAGGTTCAGCCATAAATGTACAAACGTTGACAAATAAGCTCCCAAATTACTTCTTATTTTTGGCTTAGTTTCGAGTTACTTAGACAATTTTTTTTTTCTTTATCTCCTCTGTTAAGGAACATGCTGGGATGGTTTCCTAGTCACCTTTTGACTTTAGAGGCAAAAACTAGTTGATGATGAAGCTTTTTGCATGTTTAGAGAATAGGAAAAAGCATGATCTCTAACTCTTTGACTGAAAATGTTGTTGGGTTAGATTCCTTTTTGGCATCTGGGTAAGAGGGAAAGATTAACCTTGTTAATGGGGAAATAATCATAGCTTTGTTTAGTTTCTGTTTTTGCCTATGCGTAATGGGGCTTGAACATTCATTGGATCATTCATGCACTAAACTTTTCTTAATGACAATTAATACTAGAGTTTAATCATGTCGGTACCCTGTCTGACATTTTTTCTTTCTGTCATAGCATTTAAAAGTAGGGAAAAATGACATTCTACTATTTGTTGATTTTTCGCGTTTGTAATCGGAGATCTCTGCATTTGTAAAGGTTGCTTGCTTAAAACTGATTAAGTTTGTAAATTCTTACTGCTTGGAAAATATATGATCATCTGATTACTTCCAGCAGGATCCACTAGGCCAGCCTGTGAGCTTTGACATGAGCGGCAACAAAGTAGAGAAAATGAACCTTTGTGGGAAAATCTACTCAGGAAGAGAATCAGATCATTCGAGCTCCCAGTCAGCTAAGGGCGCACTAGCAGAAGCCCTAAAACCCAAGAATCATCGAAAAGCAAAGGTTTGACACTGAAAAGCTAGCGTCTAGCTGAAAGTATGTCAAAAACCATTATTACATCATGTGAATCAAAGAAGTTCAACCACGTAAATTTGAAGTAGGATACCGAGTTAACATAAGATCCAGATCAAGTAATTTAATGTTCAGGGAATTTACAGCAATCTGCACAATCCATCTCATAAAATTCATAATTACAAGGCTTGCATGTAAGTGAGGTTAATTAGTTCATATGGAGAAGGGCAGAAGTTTTCGTACTTCTTGTCTTGTATGCATTGATTCGTGACAAATAGCAACTTCAAGGGGCATGAGCCCACATCCTTACCCGCTTCTACAACAGTACACAACATGTCAAAGGCCATGAGTAACATACTCTTAAATAATTTGCAGCCTTCACCACCTATCAGCCAACTCTGTGTGAGACAAAGAAATAACAGGAACCAAACTGATCTAAGGGAAACACATCTCTATTTTTTCTGCACATATTCTGTATGTCCAAGCCTTTTCCGGTAAAAGAGAACAGAAGAAAGGAAAGACTCAAAACGTTTAACAAAGTGTGATTAGAAACAAGAAACACAGAAATTTTGTTATTTGAATAGTGGAAGAAGCATGCCACTCACAAGAATGGTAACAATTTTAGGGTGCTTTTCTTTATCCAACCAACCAGCAAGAATACATAGGCATGTGTGGTTACACAACATGCAGCAAAATTAACAACATTAAAACAAAGAAACGCCTTATGAATCTCAAATTCAGTACAACCTCAGTACGCTCCTCGCAATGGAATGTGCATGGCTTGCCCTGCTTTTGCCTGAACCACCTCTCCGGCTGCCCCTCATCGGTGTCAAGTAGAACCTTAACAGTCCATTATCAAGGTTATTTGGTGAATATCTTGCACTCCTATTCCTCTCCAACACAAATTCATCTCTCTTCTTCTTACTATGCCCATTTGTCTCAACACAGTTCTTCCTTGCACCACCAAATGAACCACCAAAACTGCTCGAATTCCTCCAGCTTACGCTGCTATTGCTCCTTAAAACCTTTGGATTAAAACCCCCTCTCACATCTCCATTCCGTTCCCCTCTTAGCTCAGGCCAAGATTCTGAATACGATCTCTCCACACCATTAGCTCTACTATACCTATCTTCATCCTCATCTTTGTTAGCACTCCTCCTGTGAATAAACCCCCAAATATTCCAAGCTTTACTCCACCTCCATGACTTTTTAGACGATCCTTTCCGCTCCCCGTGGCCAATCACAGACGCACTGTCTCTAAAGCCAATCTCAAAAGTCTCAGAATAATCATCCCTCAAAGAATTCGAGTTTGAATCCCTGGAATCCCTATCTGGCACAACAAGTTTAGGTCCATGGAAGTAATCAACAGTTGCAGGAGAAACCTTTGCATTAGAAACCGACTTCATTTCATCGATCTCAGCCACTACAGCTGCAGCAGTCTTCCTAATAGAACTGGACCTATCAAGACTCTTTCTTCTCCTAGAAGAAGAATCAGAATAATAATCCTTTGTCTGAGTTGACCCTCCTGGAAGAGATTCATCCTCATTAATAGAATTCATTGCCGGCGGATCCTCCACAGGGATTTGAGTATCAGACCTCATAACATGATGAACTGGAGCATCTTCCACAACAGAAACCATAGTGGGCATTCTTGGAAATGTTCTCCCAATCAAATACCCATCCCAGGAAGCTCTTGGTTCATCAAAAGAATATCTTGGATCATCAAAAGACATCCTTGCTGCATCCAATGACATCCTCCCTGCATCAAGGGAAAACCTTGGATCCGTGTCACAAGACCTTCTCCCGAACCCATAATCCGCAATTTCCGACTGGGTTTCTCTGTATTGTCTCCCTATCGGCTTCTCCACTGGCAATCTCGCTGACCCACCTCCATTACTCCTTTTTTTAAGCTTCTGTTTTTGCCTCCATTTTTGCAACTTCTTGCTGAAAACTGAAGCAGCTGACCAGAAACTCCCAGCAATCTCCTTAAAATCTCTCCCAGAAGCCTTCTTTGTCTGCGAATCAAGATCTATATGATCCTTCATGGGCTTCAGCTCCTCTTCTTGACACAGTTCCTCTTTGTATTCTTCCACAATTTCTTCAACTTTCTCTTCGATTAAACTAGCAGTAACAACGGCCACATTGGATTGTTGTTCTTCTATGATCTCTATGTCGTCTTCGTGATCGGTTTCACTCTCAGTTTGGTCTTCTTCTTTGCTTTCAAAAACAGGACCTTGAACAACACTTGAAGAAGCCAAATTTCGAGCTTCAATTTCAACAATTTCAGAAGACCTTCCGTTTCCAGCTGCTTCTTTTTTATGTGGGTTCCTCTCGTCGTCCTGATAAAAGAGTGACCAGAGCGTGTTTCGAACCCTAACGTCACAAGATTTCCTCTGAGGCTCAAAAATCCCGGAGAAACCCTCGTTTTTTGAGGCCGAAAAGGACTTTGTTCTCCGGAGCTCGGGAAAAAACCCGGGTCGCGAACCGCCTCCTCCAGAAGGCTTGAAAATGGCTTTAAGTGCGGCAGTGGCGGTGGAAGTAGTGGCGGCGATGGGAGGTTTCCGAGAAGAAGAAGCAGCAGCAGTAGAAGAAGAAGAAGGCTCGAGAACAGCGAGACGTTCGCAGAGCAATGAGGGGCAAAAGCCAGTAAAATGCTCTTCCAGGGGGCGGTCACAGGAAGTAGAAGGACGGTGGGGCTGCGGCGGTTGGAGCGGCGGGGCTAATGCTGGAGGTAGTGGTGGCTCCACGTTGGGATTCATAACCGGTAGTAATATGAAATGAGCACTCTGCTCATATTATTAGCTTCTTTAAAAAAAAAAAAATTGAGAATGTGAGAGAAAAGAGTTTCTGTTTTTCGGATTTGCATGTGAAAACTGTTTGGTTCAAACGGACAGTGAGAGGAAAGAAAGAGAGAGAGAATGATGGGGGAGCAACGGAAGAAATTAAAAAAGAAAAGAAAAGAAAATCTCGGCGTAGAATTTAGAATGACCCACCACACATACACACTACTGAAACTACCTTTTTTTTTTTTTGTTGGATAATTAAAAAGTAATTGGCGTCACCCGGACACTACTGAAACTCACTTCACAGGTCACTGCTCCTGCGATCCTTTCCTTTCCTTTCTCTCTCTTCCATCTTTGCTTTGCTTTCCTTTCCTTTCCTTTCTTACATGTTAACTAGTTCTTTCGTAGGGACACCCGCTTGACTGTTTTGGGCCTACTATCTTGTCTTAAGCACCAGAGCACCACCACCAAATCGAAACAGGAATCACTATGGGTCTTATGAGACTTCTTAAGTGCTTAATCTCTCCCCTTGTCTTTAACTACAATCAAATCTTTTATCAAAGCTTATTCTTTTCGACTCTCATGATTAGTTTACATTTAAGCTTTTGTTAATTTGATCGAGTTTTGGTGTTTTAAGCTTAATTCAAGCATTGTCACAACCTAAAAGAGCCCAAATTTATCCTGGCTGGAAAAATAACCCAAATTGACATTATAATCTCAGTTGGATTTAGATATTAGACTTTATTGCCACTTCCGAATGCATCAAGAATGTCAAAAAAAAATCCAAATTCTTGTGTGTGCTTTAGCTCATCCTAGCAAGAAAAATATGGTCAAATTACGAGCCCTTTAATTTGCTTTTACATTAAGTCATTGCCTATAATGTGTTTTTGTTCTTTCAGCTTTGTTAAAATTTTCTTTGTTTGAGGGATGCTTTGGATTTTCAAAGATTCCTGTCGAGAGAAAAAGCAAAAGCAAATCACGCCATCACTAGAGAGGGAGAGCAGAGGGGTGGGGTGGGGTGAAATGGTGCCTGTTTTTCTCCTCTCTTTTCTCACATTTCGCTTTCCTTCCTCCTCTTTTTATTTTGCTTTTTCTTTTCCCTGTTTTGGGCTTCTTTTTGTTTTTCGGCTTTCGTTTTCTGTTTCTTTTTTTTTTTTTTTTTTTGTTCGCATCCAAATAAGTTCAATTCTTGTGTATGGTTTTTCCATTTGGATTTATTTTGTGGATTCAGAGATTGTCTCACCCATTGATCAACATGTACCTATCAAAGGTCACTCCGATCCCAGACCAACTTTGTCAAAGCAAAACGGGCGTCCTTTAGCTTTTGTTCTGCCCCATAATATAACTCAATTGGTGCTACATGAGTTAAGATGACGTCGCCTCTTTGCGTATTTTTATTTTTTTTTCCTTTTATACTTAGCAAAGGGTACATAAAAAATAATGGGGGTGCGTACAAATACTCCGAAATACACACAAAAGTGGATTCACCCAAATGCATAGCGAAAACCCCCTTTGGCCCTTAGGTCCCCTTGGTCGATTGACCTATTTCTTCAAAACAGAAACTTGCTTTTGTTCCATATAAATTTAGTTTTCTTTTTCCTATACCATTAACTATCGTTGTTTCATGTTTTATAAGCGGTTGAATACTTGTTTCTCAATGTAGATAATTCTCTAAAATAAAAATATGTGTCATCAACATGTTTAGTTTGAATATGGGAGGATTTCTCAAAAGAAGAAGAAAGAATTAATTGCTTGTGACATTTGCAAAATGATAAAGCAAAAATTACTTTCAGGTAACTTTTTACATCACTTCTTTTTTATGTCAATTTGATAAGCTTTTTCCCCATAGAATATATTCATGATTATCATAAATTAATCCTCTTTTTCTTGTATTTTTTAGCTTTTAAAAATCTTTACTTAATTTTTTTTACAAGGATTCCTCAAAGAGTAAAAAGAAATACTCCTAAAGAACTTGAAATTAGGTTCCTCATAAACCTTTTACTTCATTGCACTTAATTTGGGTTCTTTTTTATTCTCTTAATTTTAATTTCTTTAGTATTTGAAACTGAACAATTTTAAATATTAATTATTAACTTAAAATTTTAATATTATATCGATAGATTTTATAATTGTTGATATGATACTCTCTTGTAGTTTATCAAGATTTTTTAAAAACTTAATTCATTTGTGATTAGTCAAGTCAGCGCACATATTTAAGATTGCATGCATATTCACGCATTAACATTAGATATCATTCTTGCTTTTAATCACTATGATCATTTGTTCTATCTTTGACCAATTACTTTTATCAACCATGGTTGAGGAAACATTTTAACCAAATAAAGAGGAAAAAAAAAAAGAAAATTAAAGGAAGGTAAAACCATGGGTTTTTATATATATGCTGGCAAATTGATTCATTATAAAGGAAAAAGTGTGGGACAACCCATAACAATAAAAGAAGAAAAAGGAAGAGAGCGGTCTTTAAAATATGTTCAAACTTCCAACCCCTTCGGGCTCTTACTAAATTTTAAGGGAAAAATATATATAGAAAAATTATTACGAGTACACACGTCTTTGTTAGGAGATGAGTGGCACACGTGTGTACGAATGGATCATGTAGGCTTACGTACACCATATGGTATCAGAATCAGATTGATTGGGGAGCGCGTGGGTGCACGATTGAATCCCCAAAGCCCAAAGGATGACAGGCTGGGGCCCGCGTGAAGGCTCTAGTCTAAGTCTATTTGATTTGATGATATCACCCTCAGATGATCTGATTGAAAGCTGTAGTTGAATTTATATTTCCACGTGTGCCTAAGAATAAGAGGAATCTCCTCCTCCCACTCATTCTCCTCGATATATAATATTTTCATTTCACCTAAAAAAATAAAAATAATATGCCTATTTTTTGTAACATAGGAATTATTTGATTAGTGGATTTTTAAATTTTGAAAAAAGAATAATTTTAAATATTTAAAAACAATGATTGATTTTTATATTTCGTTGAACTTAAAAAATATAAAATTTTTATATTTGATTTTTATAATCTAAAATTATTTAATAAATTTTTTATTATATTGTTTTTGATAACATATGAATAATACATGAAATTCATCAAATTATTTATTTAATATTTTTATAAAATAGTTATTTAATTTACAAGTGATTGAATTAAATTAATTTATACATTTATATAATGCTTAACTTACTTAATACATTGTGTATAAAATATATCAACTTTATAATTCATTATTACATTTTATACCTTGTGTTTCTAGTATATATACATAATGTTTAAATAGTTTAATACATCTAGCAAATTCAATAAAATTAAATATACAAAATACTGAATTTTTTAATATATAATCTCATAATAGACAACATTTGTTAAAAACAATCATCATAAATTAAAATATAGACCATGATTGTTTCCATCCAACCGTCTATTTGTACATAGACGAAATTTATAAAAACAATAATTGTCTATACACCATATATAAGTAACAAGCAACATTTATAAATAACAATCATATGGTCTTGGCCTAACATTAGTTTTGATGATATATGAATAATGCATGATATTCAAAAAAATCATTTATTTAATATTTTTATAATATATTTATTTAATAAATGATGTTTGTTAATAACAACGGTCATCCATTTAAGTATAGACAATGTTTGTTATATTAACAACTGTTGTTTATTTGTATATAGGCGATGGTTGTTATTATCAAATATCGTCTATTGATTTTGGATAACTATTATTCTATCAATTTAATTTTATTCTAAAAAAGTGGTATGCAACATTTTCTAATAGTAGATTGCAGTTTTATAAACAAAGCATAGTATTTGTTTTTTCCAAAATTAATTATTTTTCTAATATTTTCTCAACAATTGCTATGTTTCATAAAATATAATTGTTGTCTTTATGAAAATTAAATAATTTCAAAAAATCTTTGTTCACATTATATTTTTACAAAACATTTCCTATTTTTATATTATTGTTGTTTTTTTAAATTGAAAATAAATGTTCCATTATAAACGTTTTGTTTCATTTCAAATAATTAAAATATTATAAAATGTTTTTATAAAAGTCAAATTTTGATTGATAAAATAAATTTTAATATATATATATATATATTGTCTTTAAGTTAAAAGGGAAATACTAATAGTAGATTTGTGGGGTATATATAACCCTTTTTCTTTTTATAACATTTTCCCTTTTCCATGGATAAGGCCTCAATTAAAATATGTCAATTCCAAATTTCCAACCAACGAAATATGTGTCTGTTAGTATATTACAAATCTAAGATGGAAGAAATACAGCGTTAGATGCTTTTGATTAAGTCTTTTTTGAATCTTTGAAAGTACTTTTTTTTATACTAAGTCTGAAATTTTTATTTTAACTTTTTAAATGGACATATGAGATGAGAAAAAAATTATTTCAATTTATAAGTACTTTAACTATTGTTACAAAATATATTAACAATAATAATTTGCACATTTGCTTTCATCATTTTTCATCTCATATCTTATTTTCAAATTAAAATTATATATAGAACTCTAATTTGGTTCAATATTACAAATATATACGTAAGAAACTTGGTCATGCATGGAATCTTACAGATATATTCCATTCCACGAGAAAGATCGATTTGTTGGGCAAATACATATGCATGCATGCATGGAGCAACGAGATCAGTAGTGAGAGATGATGACCCGCCGCTGAGTCACGAGAGAAATGAACATGAACCTCCCCCCGGCGGCTAATCCAAGACTTGGTTACAATAGCCACCTGTCCCTCTTCGGGGTCCACCACACCTCCTCCTTTCGGTTGCCGTTCACGAGGGTCCCATAACCATAACAAAACCCAAGCCCCCCTCCCTCTTGATCCTCCTCACAATCACATGTACCATGAACATTAACACGAGTGAGAGATTGTTGTCACTGTGCCAATGTATAAGCGACTGTATTTTTTCTGCATGAAATGAGGCGTAAAGCATCCCTGTGTCCTCTTCACCTTTACCTTTTCTTTTTTATTGTAATGGATATATAGATGGACAAAAACCAAAGAGTCTCTAGGGTTTGTCTTTCTTGGATTTTGTTTGTTTTGGCTTATTATTAAAAAATTTTATATCTTTAATATAAATAAAAAGTGAATATGTAAATGTCTGTAAGGTTATCACTTGTTAGTGGGAGGGCAGAAAAAAAGAAAAAGAAAAAGAAAGAAAGATTT